TTATAGAACAAATCCATGCATGAATATAACTAACAAATGTGTTATTCCAAATTGATTGTTTTCTTTTATCCAATTTATTATAAAAATCCTGTTAAAGAAAAAAATTATAATTAATTTTTTTTTTTGATTAACAAATAATATCATTTGTGAAATCATTACTTAACTGTAAAGTTTGAAACGCAAATTGTTGTCAAATAATTCAGCAAAATGAATCCAATAAATGAATAAATTGAAATTTTTACAGAATCATATATACAATTTCCTTCATTATCAAACATCATCATCATTATTTGTTGGTTAAAAAAATTATAATTAAAAGAAAAAAAAAATCTTTTTTTACGATGCTTGTAAAATTCATTTAAAAATAGGTGTGACAAAAAAAACATGGAAGTTTGGTTTATTGACATCTGAACTTTATTCATATGGTAATAAAAATAAAAGGTAAAACTGATTGATGATGGATTAAACCAAATATTGGGGTTTGTTATTGTGTGAAAATAAATCTATAAAAAGGAAGGTTTACTGAATGGTGCTAAATTGATTTCAATGAATGAGTTAAGTACATTACTATATGTATCCCGAAGAAGATTTTTATATTTTTAATAAAATTTGGGGCATCAAAAAATTTAGTAGATCAACTATTACTACTAGGAGTGTTTTCATATACTAATACTAATACATCATAGTAGTTCAGTTAAAACCCAACATTTTGCATTATTAAATTCACCAATGTAATGCGATAATGAACGTTATATAACAATTTTATAATGTCCCGTGATGAATTCATTATGGTGTTTTTCAATCTATTAAAATACCGTATTTTCTTAGTTTCAGCAGTGGATTTTTTCTCGAGTGGTATATAGAATTACTCCTATGTAAAAATAATTAATATGAATCTCATTCACCATGGAATCAAAGAGTTACAGTGCTATTAGAAGTACACAGTGAATCTCGATTTAGTGGACAAGTTTGGCCCAAGAGATTTATTCGCTAAAATCGAAATATCTGTAAAAACAAAGAAATTTGGAATTAGAATTGGCATTTATAATAATCATGTGATATACGTTATATCAATATCGTATCAATTTATAAAAAATAATATTACTTTAGGTAGGTTTGAATTTTCTTCTGATCCGTTTTGTGGGCAACTTTATTATTAAAAGTATAGTTGCAAACTGTTAAAATTTTTTTCTAGATTATGGAAAAAAGTGGATATTTCCTTCTCTTTATATAAGAAAAAATTTTCCTATTGTCTAAGTCATAAGTTTTATTTTCATGAATCATTTTACACGCCATAAATTTTAATTTACATTTTATTTATTGTATGGTTATCTATCATACTTGATATGTTATTTTTTTAAAGTTTCAAAATAGTAATATTAATGTACATTCAACATGAAAGTAATATCACTTCCATAAACATAATGTTGTAAAGACGGCATTGGATGTATACAATATGAAGAAACAGTATATTTTAAACTAAACTATAAAATTAAACTGATCAATAAATATATAGAATCTTATTTCTGCATGTGTTTTACATACCCACTCTGCGAATTCCATAGCATTGGAGACTGTTTCAGATAAAAATACAAGATGAATTTGGTAAATAAAATAATAATAATTTCTTCCCAAACTACATCTCAAACTAGATTAAAATTAAAAAATTAAAATAGAAATGTTAATTAAAAATAATTAATTCATCTTGTAAATTTCAAATATCTTTATAAAAATTACACATGCATCACTTTATTGCCATGATAAAGCATAGTTAATAAAATCTATTTTTTTGAATAATAATTTATTAGTTTATATATATAATTATTTATGTTAAGGATTTTAAAATTACTCTGTAGTCATCTAAACAATTTGCATCAGGTTTAATGGAAACATCACCAGTTATCAATCCAACGTCACTAAAAGAACTTTTAATTCTCTGTATTTTTGATTGCTTAAAGCCTTGAATATAATAGTAATAATTAACAGTTAAATTACTGGAATTAATTAATTAATTAAAAAAAGAAGTTCTATTGTTCATATACCTTTATTGGAGTCGGTGCAAATGACTCTTTGTTTATTTTTCAAAGCTTGCACAATAGCATATCCTGCAACAACAGATTTTCCAGCAAAAAGTGTGTACACTAACTAAAATCTTTCTATACAGTGTATTGCAACTTTTGAAATGGATCCAATTCATTCTTTCAGGCAGGCCTGCAGCAGGCCGGGACTCGCAATTTTTACCCAGATTGTGGTGGCATGGATTTGGATTATTAGTCATGTGACATATATCCGAAATTCGTGTCACATGGTTTTTTTAAAAATATCTCGAACTTTATTGTTAGAGTAAAATGAAAGTACTCCATTAAAGCTTTCCAATGAGTACCACATTATATTGAAATGCATTTTCTATGTGAAACTACGGCTATTCAAAAATGGCATTGCCTTTTCACTTCAAAGCTTGGATTATTTCTCAATATCACTTTAAAAGACTTGATAGCAAATGAGAAAGTGTAGAATACTTTAAGCTTTCATATGGTCATTACTTTATGGGGGTGTTGGTTAATAACTTTTAGAGAGGTTCACAAAAAACTATTTTATAGAAATTGATAATCATGAATAATTTTATGATAGGATTCAGCAAAAACTAAAAGGTATTTTATTAGTGGTTGTTTTATATTCCTGACTTTATTTATATTGATTAAAGTTTCCATAATGATTATTAATTATTGTTTTATATAAATAAATAATAAATAAAATGTATAAATTGACTTTAGCACTTACTTTGATCAAACCTGCCTATACAATTATTAAATAATTGATAAACATTTGTTTTGCAAGTTTCATAGATCTTGACTAACACTTCAATTAAACCCATCTATATAATTATTGAGTAATTGATAAACATTTGTTTTGCAAGCTTCATAGATCTTGACTAATACTTACTTCAATCAAACCCGCCTATAATAATAAAACATTCATTTTAACACTTTGATCAAGCCCACCTATTGTGAGATAGTAAAACTTGGACCTATCAATTACCCGGCTAATATTGACCAATTAGAACAAACTTACTATGGAAGTCAAGTGATGCACTAAATATATTATTGTTACGGCTATGCTGCAGATTGCACAGTGAAAGACTATTCCTATTCCTATTTCTATATTTATATTTATTAACCTTCTTATCTGATGTAAATATTTATTTAGAATTAGTAATTAGTTGATAAGCA